ATCTCTGCAGACAACTGGGCCTGAGTATTGATGCCTCCAACTTCCGTGAAATGTTATGTTCAAATACCAACTGTAACATATGTAACAAAATAGCTGCTGAGCTCAGCTCATCGCAGTTTGAAGAACCCATGGAAGATCCTGCTCACTCTGTGTCCCCTGTGGCTCCCAGAGTTTCTGAGAGCAAATCATCTTTCCGCCTAGCTCTCCCAGCACGGCCTTCAGAGGCCCGAAGACCAGCGCCTCTGCCTGAGGCCTCTGGATTGCTCTCCCCCAGGCTCCCATCTTGCCTGAGGTCACACTCTATTGATAGCCTGTCATCTTCAACTTCATCATGGTCAAGTGATTCTCAGCCACCAGCACCTGTTCCTTTTTTGGATTCCTCATTCCTAATACACCACGTTCCACCTCAACCCCCTGTCTCCTCCCTGCATCATACTCAGAGAGGGGATCCTGCTCTACATCTAGATCCCTCCTCGTCTGTGAACACCATCTTTGCTCTTCAGTCCACTGTGTCTGAAGATTTGGAAGCCTCACCACACTTTTCCCACACAGTGAAACACCCTGATTCACTGGCTTCTGTTTATTACACAGCTCCAAGCCCAGCTGCTTTATCAAGCCCAGATGGCACTCGAGCCCAGGGGACTTTCCAACAGAAAGAAATGAAATCCAAGACACCTAACAATCTACAGAAGAATTCTCACCCTAAGATATTTGGGGACCATGTGCAGGTGCAACTCCTCCAGATCTTCTGGGGCCTCCCCTCTCTGCACAGTGAGTCCCTGCTATCTAGTGTCCTCATCTCTGCTACCTGTTCCATAGCCTTGGTCTACTTTAATAATCACAACACAAATGGTCTCTCTGTGCAAATCCAAGAAAAAGAATTTCAATTACTTTCTCATCCTGTCACTTTTCCCATCCCTGAATTAGAGCCTCAAACTTTACCTCAACCCCAGCTTCAAATCTCTCCACCTTCTCCACTCCTGATTAAGCCTTCTGGAGAGTCTGTCCCTAGACCTCACAATGAGGCTCATTCTCCTACTCAAGAAGATATTAGTCACCTTGAGTGGCACACATTGCAAAAGCAACTGGAAGGCTTGTGGGGCATACCTGCCACTGAGCAAAAATCTCAGAAATCCTTCTGCCCACCAGCTCCCACCTTTCCCAAGCACCACCAGTGTTACAAGGCCCAAACACCTGTATCTATCAGGACTGGGAATTTTCCACTCAGTGAAGATGTAAGTAAATCATTGGAAAGACATCTTAAGAAAAGACTCATCCAACAGCGGTGGGGCCTGAACAGAAGGATTCATGAATCTTCCGCACTGATGGAGCCTCCAAAAGAATCTCCCGAGCCAGCAGTTTCAAAAAGTGCTAATGGCCTCAGCTGGATTCCGAAGTATAAGCAGAGATGCAGTGTTCATGACAGTCTTAGAGAAAGAGGTTTCTATGAGCAAAGCCTAGAATCTGCCCACTGCATGAAGGATGTGAAGAAGGCCCAACCACAGATCTCAGGGACTGCCCAGGCTGGTCATCCCGCAGGAAACCCAGATGGTAACCACATAAGACCTGGAGTGTGGAGAAACTCAGGTGAGGTAGAATCCAGACCAAATTTTAAAAGCCAACTATCTTCCACAGGAAGTGCTCCTAAATATTCCATGGTATCTAAAATTTCATGTCAGGTTATTGATGAGTTAAAGGATAAATTGGAGGCCAGGAAGATTAATCAGGCTCAGGGCCTTTCCTCTGGCGGGTGTCCT